CCTTCCTGTAGGCTCCCTTCAGGTACTGGAAGGCTGCTATTAGGTCTCCCCGGAGCCTCCTCTTCTCCAGGCTGAACAACCCCAGCTCCCTCAGCCTGTCCTCGTAGCAGAGGGGCTCCATCCCCCTGATCATCCTTGTGGCCCTCCTCTGGACCCTCTCCATCAGGTCCATGTCCTTCTTATATTGAGGGCTCCAGACCTGCACACAATACTCCAGGTGAGGTCTCACCAGAGCAGAGTAAAGTGGCAGAATCCCCTCTCTGGACCTGCTGGCAACGCTTCTTTTGATGCAGCCCAGGATGGGATTGGCCTTCTGGGCTGCAGCTGCACACTGCCTGCTCATGTCCAGCTTCTCCTCCACCAGCACCCCCAAGTCTCTTTCCTCAGGGCTGCTTTCCAATCCCTCACCCCCTAGTTTGTATTGGTGGCGAGGATTGTTCTGGCCCAGGTGCAGAACCTTGCATTTGCTCTTGTTGAACCTCATGAGGTTCACCTGGGCCCAAACCTCATGTAAGAGAAGGGAATCCATCAACCGAGATGTAGCTAGGCAGTCTGCAATTACACTTTTAATCCTCTTTATAGGGTTTTAGCCAGAGATCTGTCACACTTGAGAAAATTTTCAAACCTAAATTATGTTAACAGTGCTCTGATCTGCTCACCCCAGAGGCTGGGGAGGAGGACAGCCCAGAAATAGAACACAAAAAGAACATTAAAAAGAAATGGCCACTGAAGCCAGCGTTGGCACAGCATCTTGGCATTGATGGCCGTGGACAGGGAGCTCATCTAGTCAAGAACAGGCGAGCATGGACAATAGCTGGGTCAGCTTCCAGAGAGTCCCACCCCAGCTGGAGGCATCCTTCTCTCTGGTGAGTCACAGGCCTCCCTGCCAACTGCAGCACCATTTTTGTTTCTGGCATGCCCATCAGCAGCCTCGCAAGCATGGTTCAATAGCTGGGGTGCTCCTCCATCCTCAGTCCCCGCAGCTTCTTCCTAGGAAGGTCTGAGCAGTGCAGAGGCACGGGCTCTGTACAGCTCTGGGTGTCTTCTCTTGGTTGCCATTATCTCTGGTGACACTGATGGAGAGACACCCGTGCTGAGCACTGACAACTGAGGCTGAGGAGGTAAATCTGCATTTGTTCTTCAGACTGAACGATCCAAATCAAAAAGGACTAACATCAGCCTCAAAAAGATCTTGTTTGTAGGATATAAGAGGCTATTGGTAATGAGGAAACTCACTATGATGGATGGAGATAGAGAGAAAGCCCAGTTGCCCCACCATTATCCGCAACTAAAAGAGCCTTTTTTATGAATAATTTTTTTTGTTCTTCTTTGGTGCTGGGCTCTGGCATGGCTTTGGCTGCAGAGATCTGCAGGAAGATCTGGGTGCTCTTCCCATTGCTGGGACTCCCAGCAGTGCTGTCAGCAGTGGTGGGCTGGCACAGGGACACGGTGCAGGACTTCTGCAGGACCCTGCAGAAAGCGGTGTTGGTGGCTCTACACGGTGATGCTTTTCCACATGAGAGCCCCCAGCATGTGGCAGCAGAGAACTTGTATTGGAAAAGTGGTGACCTTAAATCCTTCATACCCTGGCTGGAATTTGGGATGGAAAATCTTACCTTGAGTGCACTAATTTTGCCTTAAATCCTTCATACCCTGGCTGGAAAATCTTACCTTGAGTGCACTAATTTTGCAGTTTCAGTGGGTGGTACAAGATAGCTGATACCCTGTGTGCCCTAAGCTTTGTAGCAGTGAATTGCCAAGCAGGGGCTGCGTTTCTGACTCCTGCAGGCTGAGTGCATTGTGTGTGACACGCGGTGGCTCTCCAGAAGAATGGGTGCAGCACTTGCAGACGTGCAGACAGGTCTGTGCGTGCCTGTCACACAGAGTGAGCCACTAGGACTGTTTTGAATATGTTGTACCTGGCTTTCGATGGCATCTGTTGGCTACGGCTTTCAGGGCAGTTACAAAGGTGACTTCATTTGACAGAGAGGGCTGTTTGCTTCACGTCCAGACAAGCCTCGTGCTCAGAGTCACCAGCTGATTGAGTTGGGAGTCAGGAATTTGAGGCTTTGCTCTGACGGGCGGGCAGCATTGCCTTCCTCAGGTAGGAGTTTGGTTCAGGTTTCACTTGGCAGCCAGACCCAGTGGGCCACAGAAGATTCCAGGTCTTACTGTCCCAAGTGAGGAAAGACCTGGGAGGTCTCACACTGCAAAGCTGCTCCCCAGGTTACTTACTTTTATTCATACAGCCATGACTGTTACCAGCCTTGCTGCAAGGAGGATTTGGCACTCTGATCTAGCCCTTTCAGCTCAGGAAGCTCCAGAGGTCATGGTTGTAGGCAACAACCATAGGTTGTCATGGCACAGGCTGATCCTTCTCTCCATCACCCTGTCCCCAGCTTTGCAGAGAAAGGGGAAGGGACTTGGCAGAGCCCGTTCCCCTGTGCCTTCTGCCATCTGGGTGCATTGAGCTCCCCGCTTTAGGGAGATTTTTGGAAACATGACTGTGTGGAAGGGTCGATGTCACAGCTGCAGGGAGGGGAGATCAGCGCTGAACCTGCTCAGTGACGTGTCCCTGCAAACTCTCTGTGCCTCAGCTGCCAGCACTACGCTTTGGCAATGGGAGCACCTCTCCTAGGAACGTGTTGGGATCCCACACCCAGTTTGCTATCGCTGCCACTCCCCTCCTGAGCTGGGTTTGGATTGACCTGCAACTGGAAAGCTTCCAGTCTTGGATTTAAGTCACCCTACCCAGCTGAAGAGCACCCAGACTGCACCGTGTTCTGCTCTCATTTGTGGCTGCTCCAGGAGCCTTGCTGCGTTTTACATGAGCATCCTTGAGAGCTTTTTATTTGTGTGGATGTACCATAACTTGATGATGTGCAGCCTGCCGAAGCAAAGCACTTCTCTGCCAAGTCACTGTGAGTTGAGGCCAATTGCCTGATGAAGGTTGAGTACAGAAGGGGGAAAAACCACAGTGTTTGTATCGATTGCATCTTCATATGCCCTGTGTGGTCTGTACAGGCTGAGTTAGGCTTTTCTCCAGTCTGACTGATAGGATCTGCAGAGGTGACTTTGTTAGTCTGTGGTCTCTGGGTAACTGGTCAATAGGATCTGCAGAGGTGATTTTTTGTTAGTCTGTGGTCTCTGGGTAACTGGTCAGGAAGAATTTTCTGGAAATGTACTGGACTTTTTCTGAAATGTACTGGACTACTGGTTCTTGGAATGTGAGCACTCAAAAGCTAGGGCTGGTTGTCACAAAGTCTGCCAGATGATGGTAGAAAGAGGGATTTTTATGTTTTAAAAAAAAAAAGGGAAACTGAGGAAGAGAGGGACTTTGCTCAAAAGCTAGTGCTGGTTGTCATGAAGTCTGCCAGGTGATGGCAGAAAGAGGGATTATTTTTTTTTTTTTTTTAAAAAGGGAAACTGAGGAAGAGAGGGACTTTTGTTGGATTTTTACCCATCTCCTTGACCTAAGGACCATGAAGTGAAGTAGCCTGGGAAGCTGATCCCAGCTGTACCACACAGCGTGGTCCTCTCCTGATCCAGATGGGAGAGCTCTGACTACCCCAGTGTGGCCAGATTGAGTCCCACGCAAGGGATTCTCCCTGTGAAATAAGGGCTGGATGGGGAGAGATTCACCAAGGGCCATCCCACCTCTTCTTACTCTCTTTCCTTTGTTCTCCAGGTGGATTACGACGTTTGTAGCAATTACGGCAACTGGTTGTACAGCGCTGGCCTTGGCAACGACCCACGGGACAACAGGAAGTTTAACATGATTAAACAAGGCCTGGATTACGATGGCAACGTGAGTCTTGTTGGGTTGTTTTACAATGAAGAGTGTGGCAAAGCTTGTGTGATAGTTTTGGGGAACGGAGGAGATGGATCTGCTGCGCGGGTGCTGCTGCAAAAGCAGTTCTGCCGCCTCCTTGCCTACACCCAGGCAGGTTCCTCATGGTTGCACAGGAAGATCTGACATGTGCAATCTGCTGCTGTCCCCAAAGAGGAGTGCTCTGTGCCCCCTCCCTGCCCTGCCCTGGGGCTCTGTGTTTGGTGTTTCATCACCATTTCTTCCGGGGCAACAGCCACATCCCATCCCTATCTCACTGTCTCACACAGCCATTTCCTTGAGCGCAGAGCAGCTTCTCGGAGAACTCAGACCTCGGGAGGTCCTGGAAAGTAGGTTAAAAACCTCTGACTCCTCTGACTGTCCTCTGCAAGCGGTGGGAGCAGCTAAATTGCCCTTTTCGTGTGCTTAGCCAGCGTTCACATTCCAAATTACCTGTTTCCACCCAATTCCTTAGCCTCACAGTGAACTGTGCTGTTGCGTTTCAGCTCTGTAGCTGGCAGGATTTAGTGAGGAATCAGAAACCAGGCCTAGCAGGGGATGCAGCAGTAGATTAGTGGGAGATTTGGGGGCTTGCCCAAAAGGGGTTGTGAACTGACCCTGTCACCCTAGTTGCCTTCAGTCACTGGAAGGAAAAAGAAAAAAAAAAAAAAAGGATTTATTAGGAGTGACTTCATCTCTCATGTCCTAAATAAGGCAGGTGAACTGTAGCAAAAAGCACCTCTGTCTCACAGAATCACAGAACCACATGGGGTTGGAAGGGACCTCTGGAGATCATCTTCTCCAACCCCCCTGCCAAAGCAGGTCCACCCAGACCAGGTTGCACAGGAACGTGCCCAGGTGGGTTTGAATGTCTCCAGAGAAGGAGACTCCACCACCTCCTTGGGCAGCCTCTTCCAGGGCTCTGCCACCCTCAAAGTGAAGAAGTTCTTCCTCATGTTTAGGTGGAACTTCTTATATTCAGGTTTGTGCCCATTCCCTCTTGTCCTGTCCCTGGGCACCACTGAAAAAAGACTGGCCCCATCCTTTTGACACCCACCCTTTAAGTATTTATAAGCACTGATCAGATCTCCCCTCTAACTCTTCTCCAGACTAAAAAGACCCAAGTCCCTCAGCCTCTCCTCGTAAGGGAGATGCTCCAGTCTCCCCTGGCTGCCTGCAGAGAGAGCCTGGCAGAGGAGCTCCAGCCCCAGCTCTCTCTGTTCAGGCACTGACTCTCAGCAGAGGGTTTAGCAGGAGGGGCTGAAGAGCCTGGCAGGGGAGCTCCAGCCCCAGCTCTCTCTGTTCAGGCACTGACTCTCAGCAGAGGGTTTAGCAGGAGGGGCTGAGACTTACCAGAACTAACGGATGCTGCAGGACACCAGCTGCTTTACCTGGAAATCAGCCTTTTTTCCCTCTTTTGTTAAGACAGACCCTTGCTGGGCAGCACTTTGGGACTGTTACTGAATGGATGCTGTCCTGTGGGCTCTGTTTGCAGGGGGATTACGTCCGGCTGTGGGTCCCGGAGCTACAGGGGATAAAGGGAGCAGAAATCCACACCCCCTGGGCTCTGAGCGCTGCTGCTCTCTCCCAGGCAGGAGTGACTCTGGGTGACACCTACCCACAGCCCGTTGTGACAGCCCCAGAGTGGAGCAGACACATCAACCAGAGGCCCGTGAGTACTGGGAAGGTTGGGATGGGGTGGGAGGGCTCCGGGTATTTGTTCTGCTGTGAATTCTGCTCTTCTTTCTCGGGTATAAAGGGACAAAATTGCTTTAATGCGAAGTGTCGTTGCCTCGCAGCAGAGGGTGGTGCAGCTCTGTCCCTGTCCTACTAAACTAGTCTGAGGCACAAGCAGCCCAAGTACCAACCTCCTGTCACCCAGACAGTTACACTGTCAGTGTTTTCTCCAGCAATATTTTTGCCAGGGCCAACCAGCACCTTCCAGAACTTCATCCAAGCGCGGTGTGAGGGTACCACATGCTGAGGACTGTCACAAAATACAGTCTTGACAAAGCCACCCTACGCCGTACAGACATAAACTGTGCCCGGCCAGTTGGCTTTAGGGCTGAAGAACAAACCCAATAAATATCTCACTGTTCCATCTTTCATTTCCAGCAGGGACAAAGACCCCACCCCAGGGGCAAGAGGGGACCCGCACACACGCCGAGGCAGCACAAAGACAGAGGGATAGATTTTTACTTCTCTCGTAAGAAGGATGTACAGTGAGAGCTCTCCGGGTGCGTGCAGGAGCTTGTGCTGCTGAAGATGCCAGGATAATGGTTAATCTCTTTGCATCCAGCCCACGGTACAAGTCTGTTTGGCCCCCACCAAACAACTAGGATCTGCTTCTCAGGTGTTCCCAGGGATGGGATGTGGATCCTTGGAGGCTGGGAATCACCGACCGCGCTGATGGGATCTCCTGTTTCCCCTGTGGTGCTTGGGCTGCTGCTGTGGGCTCACAAGAACTTCACCTGTCCCTCTCCAGGAGGGGCTGCCTTTCAGTACCAAGCATCTGACTCCCAGGGTATTGCTCTCAACTCTGCAAAGCCCTAACTAATTAATTAACCAAAATAGCCTTTCTGTTTGGAGGAGGTGTGACTGCTTTCCCAGTGCCTCTTGCTTTGTGCTGGTGCTTACAGCTGTTACAGCTACATTTCCACCTCTCTTTACAGGTGGTTGGTGTGTCAGTCACAACTCTTCCTAGTGAACTTTCCTATGCTATATTTTTTTTCATGTTTTAAAGCTTTAAAACTGCTCGTCAATGAGCAATTAAAAGTTTTGCTACTGGAATATTTCCTCTAAATCATTTCCACAGAGACCCACAGACAGTGAGATTTCAGAAGTCATTCTTTTTACTGTGTCTCCTGCAGCGCTTTGGAGAAAGCCTGAGTTCCTCTTGAAAACTGCCCTGGAGTCCTGGCAGTGCCTGGGTGGCTTTTGGTACCAGCCTGGAAGCTGGTAGAGAACCTGCTGAGAACCTGCTTTGTGCTCAGTCAAAAATGGCCTTTGAGGACTTAAAGGGGCCTACAGGAAAGATGGGGACAGACTTTTTAGCAGCCCCTGTTGCAACAGGACAAGGGTAATGGTTTTAAACTAAAAGAGGGGAGATTCAGACTAGATTTAAGGGAGAAATATTTTACACCGAGGGTGGTGAAACCCTGGCCCAGGCTGCCTGGAGAGGTGGTGGAAGGAGGACGGTTTCCCCATCCGTGGAAACATTCAAGGTCAGGTTGGACGGGGCTTTTTGTTGAAGATGTCCCTGCTCATGGCAGGGGGTTGGACGAGATGCTCTTGAAAGGTCCCTTTCAACCCAAACTATTCTATGATTCTGTTAAATCTCATTGAACGCTTACTTGGGTCGGTAGGTTCAGGTCTGGACTGAGGACAGAACTGATGTGGAACACAAAAGCAAGGTCTTGTACTAAAAGGAGACAAATGCAGTGATTTTTGAACACATGCCCTGTTGGGGCCGCAAGTGCCCACTGCCTGCTCATCGTGTCCAGCTTCTCATCCATCAGCACCCCCAACTTTAAGTTCCATTCAAATAGGAGGAAGAACTTCTTTAGGGTGAGGGTGGTAGAGCTCTGGAACAGGCTGCCCAGGGAGGGTGTGGAGTCCCCTTCTCTGGAGATCATAGAATCATAGAATCATTGAGGTTGGAAGAGACCCTTGGGATCATCAAGTCCAACCATCTACCCTACTCTACAAAGTCCTCCCCTACACCATATCCCCCAACACCACATCTAAACAGCTCTTAAACACATCCAGGGATGGTGACTCCACCACCTCCCTGGGCAGCCTGTTCCAATGCCCGACCACTCTTTCTGTGAAAAATTCCTTCCTAATGTTCAGTCTGAACCTACCCTGTTGGTGCTTGAAGCCATTCCCTCTCGTTGTGTCATTAATTACCTGCGAGAACAGACCAGCACCAACCTCTCCACAGTGTCAAGTAGTAGTTGAGAGTGATGAGGTCTCCCCTCAGCCTCCTCTTCCTCAAACTGAACAGTCCCAGATCTTCACGCCCCTCCTGGACGCAGCCCTGACTGAGGTGGGACTGGATGGTCTCTAGAAGATCCCTTCCAACCCTGACAACGCCGTGGTGCCGTGACAGGGCGGCGAACGGAGTCCCTCGACGGCGGGAGTTCCCCGGGAGCTCCTCAGCCCCGGGCCCGGGGCGGGCAGAGCCCGGGGGCGGAGCGAGGCGGGAAGCGAAAGGGCGGCGGAGCGGGAAGTCCCTGGAGCGGCGCGGCCATGGAGACGGCGCCGGCGGGACCCCAGCCCGACCCCGGCCCCTCGCCCTCCGATCTCCACGCCGTGCCCATGGTAGCGCTCAACTACGGCGTGAGGCGCCGCCTCGGCCTCTACCTCAACCCGCGGGCGGCGGCGGCCGCCGACTGGACGGCGCTGGCGGAGGAGCTGGGCTGCGAGTACCTGGAGATCCGGCGGCTGGAGGGGCAGCCCGACCCCACCGCCGCCCTGCTGGAGGACTGGCAGTGCCGCTGCCCCGGCGGAGCCACCGTCGGACGCCTCCTCGACCTCCTGCGACGCCTGGGCCGGCACGATGTTCTCCTCGACCTGGCCGACAGCGTGGGTGAGGCGCGGCGGAACCGCGGCCCGGGCGGACCCTTCTTCCCCCCCCTCGGGCCCGGCTCCCTCCGGGCGGCTCCTTCCCCCCGGGCCCGACTCCCTCCGGGCTCCCGGGCGGCCCCTTCTTCCCCCCTCCAGGCCCAGCTCCCATTTCGGGGCGCCCGGCGGCCCCTTCTTCCCCCTGGTCCTGGCTCCCATTCGGGGCACCTAGGCCGCCCCTTCTTCCCCCGGGCCCGGCTCCCTCCGGGCCCCCGGGCGGCCCCTTCTTTCCTCCAGGCCCCCGGGCGGCCCCTTCTTCCCCCCTCCGGGCCCGGCTCCCATTCGGGGATCCCGGCGGCTCCTTCTCCCCCTCCCCGGGCCCGGCTCCCTCCGGGCGGCTCCTTCCCCCCGGGCCCGGCTCCCTCTGGGTCCCCGGGCGGCCCCTTCTTTCCTCCGGGGCTCTGGGCGGCCCCTTCCTCCCCCCCGGGCCCGGCTCCCTCCGGGCGGCTCCTTCCCTCCAGGCCCGGCTCCCTCCGGGGCGCCCGGCGGCCCCTTCTTACCCCCGGTGCCCGGCTCCCTTTTATTTTCCCCGGGCCGCCCCTTCTTCCCCCCGGGCCCGGCTCCCATTTCGGGGAGGAGCGGGGCCGAGCGGGCCCGTCCCGCCCCGTCCCGCGGTGTGGCAGCCATGGAGGGGCCTTGTCTCTGCCTTGGGGTTTCTCTCGGGGCCGCTGCCGCTCTCTGCCCCAGCAGGGACCCTCTCCCGGCCGGGAGGTGGGGGGAATGGTGTTTGGGTTGGTCTTTGCTGCTCTCTCTCCCGGGAGGGGATGTAAAAAGGAAAACCCCACACAAACAGGAAAGCCCTTCCCTCCTGGGTCTCCTGCGTGGCAGAGCTTCAGGAGAGAAGGGAGAAGCACATCACACTTCTGTTAACTATAAGCCTCACAAAGTGATCCAGAGCCTCCTCTCATCCTGAACTTACAATAATAAAGTTCCTCTGGGTCACAGGATGCTTTGGGTCAGGAGAGGCAGGGGACACCTCGCACTGACACGGGACAGTGTGAAAATTCTGTGTGGGTTGAGTGTGATAGGAGGACACTTGCAGGGAGAGATGAGGAATGTGTGGAATAGGATAAAGGAAGGGAAATAAATTTCCTTGCAAACTTCAAATAAAAAAAATTGAGATAGGTCAGTGAGAAGTATGAGGGTCCTAGTGCTGTTTTGATAACTTGTTCTTTATAGAATCCTCGTGTTCTTGGTCACAGAAGGTTGGTGTGAAGCCAGCTGTCATCAGAAAGGGAAATTCATTGCTGAAGGATTTCCAAAGGCAGAGACTCCGCTGAAGTCCTCTGTTGTATAATGCAGGTTACGGGGTGAAGAAATCATAAATCTCACTTCCTGTTACTCACGGAGATCAGTGGAGATGTAGAAATGCATCCATGCAGAGAGCCTGACCAAGAAGCAACAGAGGAATTCCCACCCTCCTGTGTTTCTTCCTACTCGGGAACACACTTGGAAGATTCCAGTTTGGGAAAGACAAAAAAAAAAAGGATGTGTTTTGTCATTGACCGGTCTGAGGGTCATAACAAATAGCAGAAGCTTCCAGCTGTGCTGGGGCTTCACGTAAACGTTGGGCATCACCTCGGGTTCTTCTGGCCCTTGAATTTAGGAGCTGGCCCACTGGATGGTCTTTGTCAGAGCCTGTGAGACAGCAGCAGGAGGAGTGGGAGGAACCCGGCCTTCAGGAAAGTCACAAGTTTATCCCGGCGGTGGGTCACGCTGATAAGAGGAGATGGATAGATTTGTGGAAAAAAAAGACCCACTGAGGGCTATTCAACACAAAAATCTTGTCTCTGGCTCAGGAAATTCCTCGGGGCAAATCGTCCAGAAGATAGATTATAAAAATAGATTGTAGATTATACCTAAAAGACAGATTATTTCAGGAAAATATCATTGTAGCCTCACTTTATTCTTATGCTCTCCCTTGGGTGTCTGTTTCTGACCTCTGCTGGAGACAGGATGCTCGGCCAGACAGACCCTCAGCCTGAGCCACCAGGGCCATTCCCATCTTGTATTATTTTTGGCTGAGGATTGCAGTGGGGGCCTGGGACCTGCTGGTAGCGCTCCCAGCTCTTGCACAAGGCTGAGATACTGACCCTGGTAGGAGGCAGGGAGATGGCTGGTCCCAGGCACTCTTAAGCCTGGTGTTCCCTGATGCTGAGGGCATCTCTGCGTACGCCGTGAGGCCCCTGCGGTGGGATTCAGCTCAGAGGCAGAAAATGAGGTTTCTGTGGTTTGTGTTTTCATCACAGGAGGTGGAGATCTGGGGCGCGATGCTCACGCGAAGGCATCTCAGGTCATTTGAGAGGCATCAGGATATCTATCCCACATGGTCTCTGTCTTCTGGTGGACTCAGGTCATTTGTAGGGCTACCTGCTGGCCCAAACCAGAGGTCTTGGACACTCGGGGATCTCTTGTGTGACACCTGATCACAGAATCACAGAATCACCTAGGTTGGAAGGGACCTTAAAGATCATCTCGTCCAACCGTCAACCTAACTGACAAAAATAGACACCCACACAACAAACAAGGAGCATCATCACTAAACCATCCCTCTCAGCACTACATCAACCCGTCTTTTGAACACCTCCAGGGATGGTGCCTCAACCACCTCCCTGGGCAGCCCATTCCAATGCCTGATAACCCTTTCAGTGAAAAAATTTTTCCTAATATCCAGCCTGAACCTCCCCTGGTGTAACTTGAGGCCATTTCCTCTCGTCCTGTTGCCTGTGACTTGAGAAAAGAGACAGACCCCCACCTCTCTACACCCTCCTTTCAGGTAGTTGTAGAGAGCAATAAGGTCTCCCCCCATGATGTCTTTATGGGGGCAAATGAGCTGTGTTCCTTCGGGATGCAGCATCTCCATTAAACACAACTCGTCGGTGCTGGGCGGCTCCAGAGGACACGTTTGGTTTGTGGTTTCTCCAGTAGAACCAGTTCCCTGTG